GCATTTATTAAATTTGAAAAAAGGTACTTAGGTGGTTCTACTGCGCCACTTACTGCGTCTGTGAGCTCAAACTCACGCTTCATCTATTTTTGTATCAATATCGAAATAGCGAAGCTAATAAAGTATTTAATAAATGTATAATGCGTGATTTTTTTTTGACTTTTGGTCACGCGATTTTTCTGGTCTCACTTTTACAGATCTGGAAAAATTATTCCCGCTAACTCGATTTTTTTCCGAATCTCAGTAAGGAAACAAAAACAAATTATGACAATACCCAATATATATTAGTCCATTATCTTGTATTATATATTATTAGAAAGTTATCTGGCGATTGATGGGTGAGATTTTGAGTGCGTGACACAGATGTTCGATTAACATATATCACAGAATAAATTAGAAGATCATGGAACTTTTCATGCATGATGTAATCGTGTGACCTGCTGATTGTTACTATAAATTCTAAATCTGATTCACTAACTCGTGGCATATGCATTTTCTTTATGAAAAAGTTTTTTCGCTGTGCATTGTATCGCTCCAGTTCCACATTCTCTAAATCTACCTAAATGAGGCAGAAATGACTGGGTGAAAATGTTTTAAAAGGGTAGTATATTTACGTTGTGGTTGTTCATCATTTCAACTTGTGATATAACAAAGTTAATATTATTTTTATAATTACACAAAATATCTACTGATTTGTATAACAACATTTACGAGTTCTTGATAATTGCTGAAGAATACCAAATAAATACTACGTCAGTTATTTATTTTGGAATGAAAGAAGATCACTGGATTTTGCAAAACGAATTGAGATCAATTATAGACTGGGTCGTAACTTTCACTAGCAATGTATACATGAATACTTCGTTACGTCAATTAAGAATACTATGAATTCTCCCACAGGTTAGTTATTAAGATATATTATATTCTAAAATTATTCACATTATATGATGATATTATGTGATCCATTTACAAAGATAAGTGTTGAATAAACAGGCAAATTATTTTGATTGTTACTTATGTTCACTCATTTTACTAGTCCACTTGCTGATAGACATTTGCTCATAGTGAAGGAATATTTAAACTATAGTCTGTTATGCAGGATATAGCATTCTATTAACCTGCCATAAGAAAAATCTATTGTCTCGTCAGAAGGGTGTTTAAAATATAGGTTATTATGTTGCTTTATAGTATCACACAGAGTTTCATCCACGTAATGGTCACATAAAGATGTTAACTTTGCATATATACTGATAATATGCATTATTTCAATGATAAAAATTTTTATATTTCTGAAAAATTAATGCATTGTATTTTTTTATATTAGTTTGATAGTATTTTTGAAGGAGTTTGCGCTTTATACAACATGGAGGCAATTAAAATGAATAAGGAAAGTCCTCTCAGCTCTGATCAAATTGAAAAAAATATAATTGAGATGAAGAAGAAACTCAGAAAAGACATCACATCCCTTTGTCAGCATTTATATTCTGCTGTGGATACTCTATCTATTCAAGAATTGACTTGAAAAGATCTTCTAGCAAGTCAAATTATTAGTGATAACTCAGAACTCGTAGAATGATTACTAAAAAATCTAAAAAAAGCATTTATAGTATGTGATTAGTAATAATATATATATAAAAACTACTCTTTGCTAGATTTTTTCGTAACATACACAACTATAATATTCTATTGATGCTCTCTAATAGAAACCTGCTTAACAGATGAAGTCCACTCTTATACCAAAGATTGAAGAAATATGTGAGAAATTCATATCAAATTTCATTAATCGCAATTATCAGAATATACCACCAGAAAAACTTATCCACGATAGAACTTGGAAAGAATCTGAAGAGAAAATCTTGGATATTGCAAAAGATCTTTTTTCCCTTCTCGAGAATATTTGGATTAATCCAATCTTCAGTTCCGAACTTGCAAAATCGTTAAACAAAGGCACCTACCAATTGACAGTCATTTTATTATCAATTCAGATGGTATTAAAAAATCTTCCTTTTAGATTATCTTCATTTATCAGTACTTCAGAACAGCAAAGTATTGCTAGCGCTGATAAAAAGGGTAAAGGGCAAATGGGGAGACAACCTGATATTATATTTGTATTAAAATATTTAGAGATTTTCTTTGAGCTTTTATATATAGAATGTTCATGATTATACTGCACTCAGCAGAAAAAGGTGGATGATGAGATAAAGTTATAACACGAGACAAATGATGGTATGTATTATGTTTGCAAAGTTCTTAAACCAGACAAAGATCAATTTGGAGTAGTTGGAGTGCAAGTAGTGGGAAATATGTTATATCTGAACATTCTTGTCAGAGATAAAGCTAATGTGCATTGATATTACCATTTACAATCTGCTAAAATTCCTGTACAATTATCTGATGCAAGCATCATAGCTAAATTTATAGAAACCCTTTTACTTTTACGTAACATATTAATTATAAATATATCTCTGCTATATCATGTATCCATCTCTACATCACAAAGACAAATTGAGGATAGTACTACAGTTTCCACTTCATGAGATGATTAGACTTTGTTATATATACTTTTTTCTACCTTATATTTTATATTTATCATAATAAAGCTGGTCCTGGTGACTAATATATAATTATATACTTTGTTATTTTTTTTGTGATTCAAACTCTCTTATGGGATGAGGATACTTCGCATCTAAATATATCTGCACTTATTTTTCAAACTATCGTCACATGTTATTTATCTGGCACATATTCTCCAGAAAATTAATTATATGCTTATAGTACATCCCGAAATAGATTTCACCCTGAAATAGATTATGTAATGATTATTCCAAATATAGAATGATGCATTATCAGTTATCTCATCATGATTGGGTAATTATTATATATATACCCCTACCAATTATCTGTAATTGATTACCTTTGTTCTCACGCTTCTTTTTTCTGTAAAAGTAATACTATTCTTCTTGAGTAGAACTCAGCTCTAGGATTATTTGACCTTAATGACTCGTCAAATAGTGTTGCTTTTGATTTCTCCAGAAAATAGTAATATATCAAGATCTTTTTTTCTCTATTAGTTATATCGTGGGTTGTTATAAAGAGGAATTAAATAAGAAATGGACGCATTTAATAGTAAACAAAATGGACTGACCCTCTCAAAGGCATATAAACAAAACTAGTACAAGAAGCTAGCATGATACACCAAAAAAGTGAAGCTTGAAAAGTGTACTAACGTGATAATAAATAAAAAAACTGTCTCTATCTATGATACTAGTAATGATAATCAAGACGAGCAGGACAATAAAAGAGCAAAGATTTTCTACAATCCGGATAAAGTAAGTATTTAGTGGTTATAGGTATTTTTAGTGGGTATGGTTCAATATATTTTTATGGTATGATGAGATGAGATTGTCAAATTACTATCGTCAGTGTAGTGAGGAGAGAAAGATTACACAGGCTTACCGTGGTTTAGACCGCTGAGCTATGAGACAGGAAATAATTTGTATGTTTATCTGCCTCATATTTTTAGAGATAATTTATATCTCCTATTATTATTTTAAAGCATAAAACTCAGCTGGAGACTCGTTAGTTAACGGAAAATGAAACTTGTCAATATATTATATCCCAATGGATTTCTGAAGATTTTCTTGCTAGCAATCTTAAACTGAGTAAAGTTTTACAACCTGCTACCTTTTTGGATCTCCAGTTTACCTTTCTCGAAAAGTTTCTTGAGAAGAGACGGCAGAGATAAGTTGTTCGATGATTATTTAACCAGGGTTTACTTCCATCCAATACTATAAAAACCAGTACTTATATACTCGATTTTGCTGTACTATCTAACCACTATCTTGAAATAGTTTCAAACGTAATTTAGGAGAATTTATACAGAAATGATACTAGAAAGAAGTCTTTATCATCCCAAACCATCCAAGTAATTCCAACTTCTTCTGTGATACCCCAAGAGTTTATGCATTTACTCGAATCAGAGATCTTTATTTTAGTGGATCAAGTGGAGCATAACCATTCCAAGGAATCTTCAGAAAAAAAATAGTTGTGGAAAGAATTCACCTTATGGGCATGTTTTTTCGCTAGACCTAATTTTAATTAACACTTTCGTTACCATTGTCATCATCTCTGATTTCAAGTGAAATATATTTATTACCATGTGAGGGTCTAAGAGAAGCTATTAGAAGGATGTAATATCCACGAGATATTTCTACACCACCCGAGTGATAAACTTTACATTGCTAAAGAAACAACAGAAATCATTGCAAGTGATATCAATCTTCAGAGATATTAGCACATTTTTAATCTGCAATGTTTTGTGAACAGTTTTGAGGAAAGTGTGGTGGATTTTTTTGATATTGGTAGAATATCTGCAAGGGAATCAGAAGCGGTTATAGACAGATACTATAAATATATGTTCGATGATCTCACACACTAGTCCAAGCAATTTAAATCTGATTTGATAAAACATTTTAGATATTTTATCAACAGCAACAATATGCCATACATCACAACAAACACTACCTCTTCTCATCACAAAGCACATCAAAAATGTGTTCAAGATTTGATAAAAGGGCTTTAACTGATTTCTGGGTCAGTTAATAAGTATCTTGAAATCACTTATCCAGTTTTATATTCTAAGATGAAGAAACTTGATCTTGGGCCGAATGTTCCAAACTCTTTTGGTATTTTTCCGATAATTACTGTTAATTATAATATTATTTGTCAATTCCATCAGGATATGAAGGATCATTAAAACTCCCTCTGTGTGATTTGCCTGCTTGGGAAATTCAAAGAAGAAGAATTGGTATTTCCTGAGTTGAAGTTGGTTGTCCACATTAAACAAGGGCAAGCAGTAGTCTTTAGATTGAATCTTTTGATTCATGAGAATCTCTCAATTATCACTGGAACTTAGCATAGCATCATTTTTTATATCCACAATATGGTAATTAAATAAAAATGAAAGTTTAGCTCTCTTTTTGCTGATTATGAGTTGGACTAGGATAATAGTGATGGGAACTCGTCACTATCAAAATATCTTCCTCTAACACTAGGTTCTGGAGATAATGTAATGAAATCAAAAAATCATAGAAGAATGAATATAGGTATGTGCAGGCAAGATAAAGTATATCTTATATCAAATATGAGATATTTAGCGATAAGGGTCTAATATTTATCTTTTTTTATATTATACTATATCCATGTATTCATGCATTAAAAGATGTAGAGGGTTCAAAGAGAGGATTGCCTGCACAGTACAAGAAATAACGTTTTTGTGATAAAGAGCTAGTTATAAATGCTCATCTTGATGGGTTTAAATTATGATTTATTTTTTCATAGCATAGCCACTATATGACTACCTCTCGGCAACGTAATATTCATATATTGTAAATATATTATACTTAATAAATTCTGAAAATTTCGCATACATAATTGCGTTATTTTCTGCATATGTATTTTGGGATTTAACACATAGTATTGATGTTACTATATGATCGAGAATTTCTTAGTATTTTTTCGAGATAACCCGTCCCACAAATTTTAATTGCATGAATAACTTACATGTCTGCATAATAAAAAGATTTTGAATAAATTTGCACCTTATATAAAAAATGGCAAACACACAATCTAAAGTCGATTTATTAGAAGAACAAATTTCCAAGCTTACAGTTGAGATTGATAATCTTAGATGAGAAAATGCTGGAATACCAGAACTTAAAAAAGAAAATGCCAAAATCAAGGCTGAAAATATTGATCTTAAAGCTGAGAATGTAAAATTAAAATAGGCTTTAGAAGAACATGAATCCAGATTCATGAAACTGGAGCAGAATGATATAGATACCACTTCTAAAAATGCTGAACTTAAAGTTAGAATTATGAAATTGGAACAGAAGCAGTTACAAAATGATGAAAAAAATAATCATATCGCTAAATTGGATGATACCATAGAAATTAACTAATTTTCAGTCTGCGAAGCAGGGCACTTTGCGCCTAATATCACCTCTACTGAAATGGAAAAATCTAATGATAATATAGCATCTAATATATCTGATAATACTTCAAATTCTGATATTTCTGAATAGGTAGAAAATAGTTTTAATATATTCCAGAAAAATGATGGCTGATGTTCTGTATCTCCTATTTCCTCTGAAACAAATTCTAACAATACTCATAAACAAGTAGTCTCACAAAGTAAGGATATGCTGATATTGAAAGACAAGAAAATGGATGCTTTCTTAAATGAGGTATATAAGAAAAAGGTTAACAACGTAATTAAGCAGAGAAATTGGGAAAAGAAACTTCAAGTCCAAGAATTCCATCCTGAGGAGAAAATACCTCAAGAGCTCAACTCAGTTATTCAACCATGTAATAATTTAATACCTGAAGTTGGTAAAAACATCGATCTAGATTCACTCAAGTGTCTTACCTTTGATGCAGTGATCTATGATCAAAAGAGAGTTGCCAGAGGTAACAGATCACATAAGAAAAAAGGAATGGATGAACTCAAGCACGAATTATTCAATCCTCCTTTGGAATCAGATAGTTCATTCTCTATAAACCATAATAATGTGACTGAAATTTTCAGGATGGGCCATCTTGGAAAAGTTACCTATGACAACATTGATGAAGCTTCACAACATCTAGCTTAATTATGTTATAAAGCTATCGATGCTGAAGATAGAGCAAATTGAGCTAATCAGGAAGAAATTCTATGTTGATACTTTTACTGGAAGGATTTCAGAAATCAGCTTGATGAGATTATCAGAAGTGGTGGTGGTAAAATTAGTGAAAAGAAGACAAGAAGTATACTTTATGATACCATTACAGAATAGCTTTCTATCCTCCGCAAGAAAAGATCATAAGAATTGGAGCTACAACTTCGGGATGTATCATGAGATAGCTTGCGTAAGAAAACTCAGAGAGCTGAGAAAAACTATAAATTTTTCGAAAAAGTGGGTCTAGATAAGATCAAGTATATTAATTCTTATAGTGCGAATTCTCTTTTGGAACTTACTAATAAGTAAATTCAAGAGGTTATAGATTATGAATATCTTTTAGAAAAATTACCTCATGTGACTGAAATTTCTGAGATGGCCCATCCCGGAAAAAATTTAATCAAGAATACTCCACTGAAAACTAAGGTAAGTATACCTACTGAATCAATTCTTTTGGATTTATCCCAAGAAAATGATAAAGATTCGAAATTACCAGAAGTTGAGATAAATACATCTACTAAATCTATTCCTACTTATTCAGAAAAATTACCAAATACTGAAGCAAGTGTACCATCTCCATCCCAGGTAAATACATCTAACAAATCCCAACCTTCAATTTCTGTCTTATCCAATGA